TGTGGGTGTGGGTGTGGGTGTGGGTGTGGGTGTGGGTGTGGGTGTGGGTGTGGGTGTGGGTGTGGGTGTGGGTGTGGGTGTGGGTGTGGGTGTGTGTGTGTGTGTGTGTGTTTGTCTGTCTGTCTGTCTGTCTGTCCGTCTGTCTGTCTGTCTGTGTGCGTGCCTTGACCCACATTCTCGATCTCGCGGTCCTCAAGAAGAACCTCAAACGACCGGGGTGAAACCTCTCAAGCTAAAGGCTGTTTGAAACGTACTCCAGGTACCGCAAGCTCTGAGACCCCCGCCACACACGAGCCATGCACTAGGACAAAGACGAAGTCGGCGTCTGGCTCCTTGGGCGTTCAAGCCACGCGCTGCTGGCTGCTTAAGATGCACAGACAGGCAAGTCATCCAAACGCAAGGAGGACACCAACGAAGATGATTGAAGATATGTTGCGAGGGCGAATGCACACCATGCGCACACCCGCCTCATCGGCGACGATCGTCTCGCCAGGAAGCAGCCAGCGTGGCTCCCAGGCCCTGGTTCCCTCCTTCCTCCCTCCTTCCTCTCTTCTTCCTCTCTCCCCTCCCTCCCCTCTCCCCTCTCCCCCCTTTCGCCTCTCTCCCCTCTCTCCCCTCCCTCCCCGCCCTGCCCTCCCTCCCCTCCCCCCCGGCCGGACAAGCTGATCCAGCAGCCGCGGCGGGGCATCGTGCACCAGGTCCTGCAGTGAACCAAGGAGCAAAATCGGTTTCCTGAGCAGGGGAAGGATGGCAATATCAAAGGGAATGTGAAGAAGGGCTGGTCCCAGATCACGGAGTAGCTCTTCAAGGCGCTCATCAGCACGTGCTCGAAAGCATCGGCCCCGGGAACGTGCCTGAATCACTGTGTTCAGGAACGTAAAGGCAAATCTCTGATTCTCTCTTTTCAAACTCATTCAGTGAAGCATATGCTTCAGTCTTCCAGCGCCTGTAGCGGCCGGACAGCCAGCCCTTGGGGTCTTGAAACACCCGAAGCAACGAAAACAAGCGAAGCGGCACTTCTGAATGTGAATGCTTCCATGGTTTGAGTAGTTGTGTTTCCTTCTTCGGCCTGTTTTGCTTTATCTGCTCTCTTTCGTCTCGGGTCGATCGTAGTTCGGTGCCATGGACGGGCAAGGCCCTGATCGGAAAACCTGATCGGAAAACGCGGGGGGGCCCCATCGGCAAACACATGGGGGCCGGATCGGAAAACACAGGGGACCTGATCCAATGGCGCCGAACTTTACCTACTGGTACTACGTACTGAGACCTGCATACCTGCGCATATCCGCCGACCCCCATGGGGGCAGCGTAATCAAGCCTGTGTTCGCCCACCTACCCGAAAATTTCAAAAGGCACATACTCCACTCCACTCCAACCCTGCCCATCCTGCCACCCCCTCCCCCTACCCCCTACCCCTCGCGCCCCCACCCCGCAGTGGCCCTCAAGTCTCAACAGGCATTTTCTTGGCGATTCGTACCAGCCAATCGCAAATCTCGAAACTGGAAATGCAAAGGACCCTTCGTTGCACCTTCAAGTATGGCGAGATCACGAGCAAGGCATGTATCCGTCCACCCTGTAGCCGCTTGAGGCTGGACAGGCTGGCAGGTACGAAGAAGCAAGGCAGCTCTAAGGAAAGGCCTTTCACTCGGAATCAACCAGTCACAGGTGTTTGCTGGTCTGCGGAAGTCTTGCTTCGTGAGCTCCGCTCACAGAGACATGTTTTTCCAGTTTCCCCGCAGGAAAAGTCACAGCCACAGAAATGGCCGCAACACGCCTAAACCATGTTCATGCCTCGCTTTGGCAAATGCACAAGTCGTGGATGTCAAAAAGGATTTCCAGCAATTTTCAACTTGTGGAGGGCTGTCTATGCAAACCCGGGTGCCGTGTTCTGGTGGTGTGGGTGATGGCTTGTGTGGTGTGTGAGGTGATTGTGCGGGTGTGGCGGCAACGTGGTGCACGTAATGGTGGTGTGGTGCGTCGTGCCGTGGGTATGGCGGTTACGACTCAGGGGAGATTCAGTGTGTTTGGGTTTCCTCTGACTCTGGTTTGCCGCGAGCTCTTTCTTCCAGCAAGAAGCCAAGTCATTTTTGTGTCTAGGGAAAGCCGACGACTTTCTCATGGTTTTCTTGTTTTTAAGTTGGCTTGAGCAACTCAAAACGGGTTCTTTTTGTTCGAGCCGTCACAAGTCACCATACTTGCGTGAAGAACTGAACGCTTCAAGGTATCCCCATTCCCAGCCTATACCTGTCGCTAGTTCGACGCCTGGCCCTGCAATCCAAGTGCCCGGCCCCAAAGGTCCCTGCCGCGGCCTCTGCCTGATTGTCTCGGTCCTCCAACACGCAAGGATCTCCAAGTGCATTGCCGAAGGAAGGAGCGGACTCGAAGCTGGACCAAGATTTTGCAAACTAGAAGAGTCCCGGGTCGAGGCAACAGCATGTGGCACAAACTAACTCCAAACTGTGGTGGAGAGACATGCAGAGTCATGTCGAATCATCAAAGAATTCGATTCAACGCAACGAGAGTGCAAGGAGAATGCAACCAATCTCAGGCTCCCCGGCCTTGTGCGCCGGCGGGCCCGTGATCTGAGAAGGGAGAAGGCAGCCAAAAAACAAAAAGGGCAAAACGGGCCAAAAGGGCAAACAAGGCAAACGCCCCCACCCCCCCAACCCAGCTCCAAAAAGCAGACCCTGAAATCAAAACCTCTTTTGCCTCGGTGTGGGATTGTTCGATGTTAACCTAAAGTTTTTCTCCTCACCCGGTCTCCCAGAGTTCCTGGACATCCCAGACAGTTCCTGGAGTGCCAAAAAAAACCCAAAGTATCCCCAAAAGAGTCCCCAACTGGATCCTGGAGAATCTTGGAATTACCCCAGCAAAAAAAAATTGACCCCCGGATTTTTTGGGGCCGCGGCCGGCCCAAGGTGCGAAGGCCGGTCCTTCACCTGCCAAGGCCACCATGGGGACAATTTGGGACAATTGGGGGCGTCTCGCTCTCTTTTGAGAAACACAACGGCAGTTCTTAGTCTCAGTACCTCAGCTTTCTCTCACAAGTCTCGCAACGCTCACGCGCCATTTGCGCCTCGTTCTTGGTAGAGGGAAGTGCCTTCAACACGTCGAGCCGATCGTGGATCCTCATCCACTCTCCACCCGCACATGACGGAAGATGATGGCAACAAGCATTGCGCATGCTCGCACGTCTCATCACACCCCTCAGCTGCAGGCGTCAAACCGTGCGGGAGGAAGAGGGCCTTCTCCTCACCTTCATGCGAACTGTGCTTTTCGAGCGGCTTGGCAATTCCTTCTCTCTTCCTTCTCTCTTCCTTCTCTCTTCCGTCTCGCCCTCTCTGCGTGTTTGCTCTTGTGAGTGTTCTGAGGGGGCAGACAATTCCCCAGAGCTTGCAAAAGCACGTGGCGGTGAAGGATGGCCACCAAGACCTTTCTTTTTGACTTTATTGGGCAAGCCGGCTCAAGCAGCTAATTCTGCGGGGACGCAAGCTCTTCAGAGTGGCTTGGAGGGAGTAGTCTTGGGAGTATGGTGAGTGCTTCTGCTCTTTTTGAGAGAAGGCCCGCTCTCACATTTCTGGGGCTCCAGGCGGGGCCCTTGGCCCGGACGACGCCCGACAGGACGATGGGAACCCCCAGCAGCGCCAGGCGCCCGATCTGGAGCTTATGCAAGAGATCAAGAACGGATTCACTCAACTCACTGAAGAGAAAGAAGTCAGCGCATCCTTGACATTGCGCTCCTTTGCGAGAGGCACGTTTTGAGAAGCTTTTTGGGAGGCTTTTTGGGGCCAAGGGACCATCTCGAGCCTAAGCGCCTTTCTGGGAGCATTTGTCGCATCATGGAAACGCAAAACCTTGACGAGGAAATGTGAAGAAACCTGTAACGCAACTCCCGCTTTGTTTGCAGCTTGTCAGCAGTTTTTCAATGAGCTTCTCCGTAGCTTTTGCAATGCTGCCCTGCCTGCATTCCAGGCCCCAGCACCGCCTGCGGCTCTGGAGGCGGCTCCTCCTGTGGTGGGTTCAGGAAGAACCGCACCTCGGTCACTGACTTGCTCCCCATGATCCGCGCCCTCCACGAGTCAAGCGACCGGAGCCAAAGATGCCGACAAGATTGGCTTGTTTGGCGAACATTCAAGCACAGCTTTTCAGGCGCTTGGGCACCTCCTCGGCGACCTCTAACCCATGAGGGCTCAGCAACTTCGCCTGGCGCAAAGAAAAGAAAAGTCACACATCCGAGAGCGAGAGAGCGAGAGAGCGAGAGAGCGAGAGAGCGAGACAGCGAGAGAGCGAGAGAGCGAGAGAGCGAGAGAGCGAGAGAGGGAGAGAGGGAGAGAGGGAGAGAGGGATAGAAACAAAAAAATGATAAAAAAAAACAAAAACAACGAGAGAAAAATAGAGAGAGAGAGTGAGAGAGAGAGACTGAGCATTCACATCTGTTTAAGTTCGCTGAAGGTCCGGGAGGGTTTTGGGGATTCAAGATACTCACAGCCGAGGCGGCCGGGGTCAAGCGGAGTGCAGCATCTACGAGTGGATGATGGCACAGCTCAGTGGGCTGTGCCTTTTCCAGCACGTCGAAGACGATGAGGCAGTCGGGGTCTCCCCAAAGCCATCGCCAGTCTGTCGTCTTCCTCAATGCAGGCACTGCAAGAAAATGCACTGCAAGCGTGACAGTGACAACAGTACGCGGATGTGTGTCCTACGTCGGGCAGTTCTCTCGCTGAGTTCCGGGCATGGCGCTGAGGTCCAGCCGGCCTTCCTCATGCCACTCTAACAGACATCAAAGAACCATAAAGAAGAGACACAGGAAAGGGCACATGCCCTTGCAAAGACCGACTACGGAAAGTCCGGGAAACCCTCGAAACCCGGCACCTCCGCCGCCTTGCGCAGGTGCGCCTTTTCGCAGACCCAAACAACTCTCCAAAGCATGTGTATCACCCCTCGTGCACGCACAACTGTGTAGCAGCAAGGTGGCGGCAACAGTCCGTGGTGACAACAGTCCGTGGTGACTTGCAGCAGATGTCGCCGCATTGGTGGTGTCGGTCATACAACACACCGTCACCATCACCCCTGAAAATAAAGTAGCTAGAGACCAGGTGGTGGGGAGCTACACGGCTCCAGGGCCCGGACCATGGCGCGCTTGATGTTTTGAGGCATCACCAAAGACACCATGATCACCTACACGTTGAGCTGCGCGAAGATTCCCTAGAAACCCTTCGCTTGACACGTTCGACACATTCAGCTCTTTTTCTTGTCTTCTGATCTGCCTCCTGCTCGGCGGTGCGGTCCGGCTGCTCCATCAAGTATCTCCGCACCTTCTCCTGTGCACGATTGTGTACAACTGTGTACAACTGTGTACAAGTGTGTGCAGCGTGTCCAGACATCCGGGTAAATGTTGGGCATTTCATTTCTGTAAGTGGTGTACCTCTTGACCCAACTTACCATACAGTCCCTACAAGAGGTTTGAGCCCTGGTTTGCGCGATCTGGTTTGTAGTAAAGAAGGGGCTCAAGCGATCACTGCCGAGGCAGGTCTCCCTTCCGAAGCTTGCTTCGGCCTCGCCAGTATCATGGCCACGCCGCCTGACCCGGTTTCCCTTTTGCTAGCCGCCATTTTGCTTGGTACAGTTTTGCTTGGTACAGTTCAGGCAGTGGCTGCTGCCATGGTTTCGGCATCGCGCCCGAGCCTGCAGTGGCGCCGCGTCGCGGACTCTGCAAAAGTGGACGCCCCAAGGACCCCAGGTGCCCCAGCCGTGAACGCCCTGAGGAAAGGCGGACGGCCAGTGCGCCAAGCGCCGACGCAAGAGGCAACGGGCGGCTGCGAAGGCAGCAGCAAAGAGCTCGAGGAGAAGGACGGGGCAAGTGCGGTTGAGGCAGAGGGGGCGTTTCGAGGCCCCGCATGGAGGAGACTATCCCTGGCAAACGGCTTGCATGCTGGTGAGGACATGACTCGACGGATGAGTGACCTGAGTCGGAAAGGGACGAGATCAGCTGCCTGCTATTCTTTTCGGTCCTGGCATCACCGGCAACTGGGAGAGAGCAGTGGTGCAGTTTCAGTTGGCATCACTCAATCACGCAAGGTGCTGACTGGAACTCGTTTTGTGGTCTCGCTCGGCCCAAGTTTGACTCTCCCCCGCTTAGCGGGAATTTGGTGGCGATTTTGTCCAGGCCTGAAACTGCTTTTCTAGGTAAGCACAGGCAACGACTACAGACTACTTTGAAATCGACTACCGGGTATCGTTTCCCCCTCCCCCTCCACCCTCAACCGCTCCAAACCCTTCATTCGAAGCGCACGATTCACCGCCTGGTCCGAATCCAGCTCAGGGAGCTCCGCTTTCGGAAGCCGCGCCACCATCGGCGCCGTCGACGCCGCTTCGCCTAAGCGCAACACATCGAAGCTGCCCTTCTTTCAAAAGCGAGAAACAAAAAACCAAGAGAGAGGAAAGAGAGAACTAAAGAGAGAAACGAAAAAAAAACCCGAGACGTTGGTTCTGGTTTTTTTTCTCGGAGCTGAGAGCTGAGGTCCTCGGCCGCAACGCAGGTCCCGGCCATCGCCTCTCGCAACAAAAAAGAGGGGAAAGGAGGGGTGGGGCGTGAACACGAGTACTGAAGAAGAAGAGACGTCTCTCAACACAGGTCTCCCTCAATCTGAGGGATATCTCTCAGTGACCCAAGAGGGTGCGGTGACATGGGAGGTGACATGGGAGGTGACATGGGAGGTGACATGGGCACTGAGCGGGCACATGAGCAGACTGGGCCCCTGGGCCTAGCCAGCCCACGCCTTCGGATTCCCAGGCTCGGTGCAGGCAGTTGCCTCTTGCGCATATGGGGGGGGGGGGGGGGGGGGTTTTCTTTTTCTTTCTGTGGGTCTTCCTGAGCCGGTACAGCTGCACGCCTATTCCCAACCAAGATGTTCTTAAGTCATGTAGATAAGAATATACGTTGTGACTGTAGATGGTAGCTATACGTCGCCTTCGTGCGAGCAAAAAGAAGTTTGCCTCAGACTCATATTCGATCTCAACAAGAAGACGGGAAATCTCTTGCGGCCATTGCTGGAGTCAAGGATCCGAAGGCAACAACATGGCGTCGGCGGGGAAGGGGCCCTTCCCCCCGCCCCCCCCCTTGTCCGGAGTGTGCCTGCGCAGCCATCAGGCACCAGCGCCTCCACCTGTGTCCCAACTTCCGTGCACAGACAGAGCGCTTCTCTGAGAGAGCTGACAAGATCAGAGAGCCCCCTGACCAGAAACACGAGAACCGCTCTGGGCTCTCCGTCTTCTGCTTCTTCTGCTTCTTCTTCCCCCTTCTTCTTCTTCTTCTTGTTCTTCTTCTTCTTCTTCTGCACGCTGCCTCTCCCTCTCTCGCCCTCTCGCTTTTTGAGAGGGTCCACTGCCTCGCCGCGGAGGATCAGAATCGCCGAGTCCCCCATCACTCCGGGCTTCAGGATCGTCTGCCCATCGAAGTAGTACCTCAGACTCTCTAACTTTCTCTGTTCTCGCTCTTCTTCTGTTCGAAGGGTGCGAATGCCCTTTTTCTTGGGGCACAACCTCTCTCTCTCTCTCTCTATCTTATCCTTCATGTCTTTGTACACCTCTTTCTCTGCTCGTTCGCTGTCTCTCTCTCGCTCATCCCCCGCCCGCCTCTCCTCGATGCCTTCCGGCAGCGGCCCGGACACGGAGGTGCCCAACGCATTGTCCACCATGAAGACGGACTGTGAGAAAATGAAACAAAGAGATTGAAAGGCTTGAAAGGGATTCAAAGTGGACAGAGGCTGACGTGGGCGTGCTCAGAATGCACAGCGACTATGTGCGAAATGCCCAGCGGTCAGCGAAAGAAAGCGATCGCATGTGGTATCGAACTCTTTGTCTGGGCCTGCCCCCCGAGCTGGAGGAAGTCCAAAGGCGTGTCCGGGCCATCCACCGGCCCAGGGTTCCAGGTCAAAAGGTTCCGCGCCTCCTCAGACGTGCGCCCAAAAAAGCCTCTTGCAACACGCAAGGTTCCCGTTCCCAGGTTCCCCACCTTGTGGTTGAGGGAGTCGATGCGGTCCAAGGACAGCTCGTTGAAGTAGGCCACCTGGAATTCGCGCGTCTGCACGCGGCAACAGGGGTTTGTTTCGGGAAGGGCTCCTAGCTCGACTTGCCTTTCAACGAGCACGTCGGGGTAGGGCTGTTCAAGGCGCACGCCCCCACGCGTCCAAGGTGCGCACACTTTACCGGGCGCGTTGAGGCCGCACGCGCGGTCCCGCTTAGTACGCACAGGCCAATGTTTTCGAGGCCTTCGAGGCTGTTGCCACCCAACATGACCTTGTAGGGTCCAGGGTTTGTCACCCAACATGACCTTTTCGGGTTCTCGGCTTGATTCACAGACCTTTTGAAAAATCAGGGCTTGCCACCCAACATGACCTTTTAGGGTTTAGGGTTTGCCAGCCAATATGACCTTGTAGGGTTTAGGGCTTCCCTGACCTCCCGCGTGCACCTTCAACGCAAACCCCCGCATGCAACTTCGGCCTGGAGCCTGATTTATGACAGACTCCACCGCCGGCAAATGCGCGGACTGAGACCTCATGAGACCTCACTGACTGCCAGCCATGGCCTCTTTCGTCCACCGTGGCCTCATGATCGGCTCATCGTCTGGGTCCTCACGAAGGCAAACAGAGACATTAAGTCTTCTTCCCAATGCTTCGCGGCTCTTTGCACTGCAGTGCCCGACTGAGCCCTTATATACTGATATTATACTGCTTTGCGGCAGGCCCTGCCGCGCAGAAAATTGGCGATCTGACAGCAGCAAGGTTACTTGACGCTACTTTTTTCCACAAATTGTTGGGGGCACGGGAGAGGCGACCGCAACGCAGGAACTTTACCTCGCCCAGCCGGGGGTGTCGATTCCCACGACCCGGTGACCCTCCTCAGCACGCCCAAAGTTTCCGACCCCCCGCACCGCCCCTCTCCTTGGCCTGGCCTCCTCCGTTTGCTCATCAAGAGAAGTGAGAAGAGATGCCTGACAGGTAATCCTGTGTTGCTGCGGAAGTGCCAGCATCACCAGAAGGTTTTTTGCACAACCCTTTGCGTCCATGTCCAGCTGGCTCGAAGACTCCGTTTTTGAATAATGAGAGTTCCTCAGCCGGACCTACCTGTGCACAGGCACAAAAGTCCTCGACGTGCAGCGTTTACACGGAACCAGAAGCCCTCAGCACGGTCCTCAGGCTGCTCTGCCTCCTCGTCGATGACCTTCTCTTGCAGCCTCACGAAGGGTCCCTCTCTCTCTCTCTCGCTCTCTCTTCCTTCCTTCCTTCCTTCCGTCGCGTCAGGCCCCCGAAGGAGCCGCCCCAAGGGGCACGCGTCAACTGAGTTAGTCGGTGTGAGAACTCCCCCCTGTGTGTGTTGCAGTGGGGTATGAAAACAGGGTGGAACCCGATCAACCATGACATTCGAAACACATTGACAACTGAAAACAGCGAAGTATGAAGTGTGGTTCCCCCAGAACGAAGTGCCCAGCAAAAACGTGCTCCCCCAGATGCCTCTGTTGGGTGGACCTGGGTCTACAGATGAGTATCGAGGAGTGAAACCGCCCTGAATTGAAGCCGTGGCACTTGGTGACATGAAATGCGAAATTCCCCCCACTACGGTTTTTGGCGGTGGCAGGGGAAGACTGAGTGCCTATCTTAGTGTTAGAATACTGGTCCAGCAGGATGGCTTGGACAAGAAGTGGGTTGAAAGAAAGCGCCTATTCATTGTCCCCCCTCCCCAACAACCGAAGATCCCCCACAATCACCTACCAGCACCCGGGACCCACGAGGGGAGGGAGGATATGTTGGTATTGCTCCCTCTTATACGGAAAAGAAACTCTCGCTCTCTCTCTCTCTCTCTCTCTCTCTCTCCTGCTCTCACCTTGATCTCTCGCACATTCTCAACATTGCCAGCTGCGGTTCTCAGAGAACTGCTCTCTCTTGTTTACCGAGGGCGTGGCAGCTCCGTCAGCGCTTGGCGGCCGACGAAGCGCACACGGGCGCCCTCGGGCCCCGCGCGCAGGGCGCAGGTGCGCTGCTCGGAGCCGACGCCCAGAAACTCCGTGATGCCCTCTCACAGGAACAGGCATGCCAGTGTGCCGGCGCACTTGCACTTGCACTTCGCCATCTTTACTAGGACCCCTAGGCCCTAGTTCCCGCCCAGCTCCTCGCAGTCGCCGCGCTTCAGGATGCGCACGATGCAGAGGCCTCCCTGGCACCCGCTGAAGCGGTTGCTTTGTATCTGAGACGGTTCCAGCCTGCGCAGTTGCCGCGCCTGCGGCGCATCCCCTACCAGTTTCTCGACGGTCCCTTTTATGATGACCACCTTGATGCTGGAGAAATCTGAAGTCTGCTACTGAATCCACGACGTGCCGCTGAGATCTTCGCCGAGATCCTGAGACCTTCCCTGAGCCCTCTGCGAGCTTATCGTCGTAGTCGCCGCCCCGGCAGATGTACCTCCAACCGAATGAACCCCAAGTTTGTTAGGCACGAGTCAAGGGCCAAGAGTCAAAAAGGCAACGCAGAGCTTTGGGAAAGCCACTCCCCGGGGTCGAGTTTCATGCCGATGAACGGCCGATGCAATGGAGGCCTGAAAGGCAAACATCTCACAAATGTCAATCTTCTCGAACCTTTCCGAGAATGTCTTCTCTCTGTTTGTGCTTTTCCAAAAAGGGAAGGGGCAAAGATGATGCCAAATATTTTCACAACGCGCCTCGAACCCCGGGGTTGTACACTGAAGCCAGCTGGGGGGTCCGAATTTGCAGCCACACCCCTGCACCCCTGCGTTCAACCTTACGGTTGGTAAGAGACTCGGCTAGCTCCCAAGGGCTAGCTTTCGTGATCAGGCTAAGGTGTTGGGCTTTGTTTTGCCTTTAAGCTGGCCGTGTCGAAGTAGTTGCGCGAGTCGTGGAGTTGAGCTAGTTGGGGCGTTTTTTTGCGGCTCTGCCTTGCTGTCCTTGCTGCGCACAGACTCCTTTTTTGTTCACTTCTTGTGAGTTGCACTCTGAGCACCGGTTTTTTTGCATTTGCTGCTGCTTGTGCAGCTGAAAATGCAGGGAGGTTGGGAGGGGCTGCGCCCCTCTGAACCCCGCGCTTTTCAAGCCGCACAAGCCTTCAGAAAGCATATGGATCCCTACCAAACCCATCATGCGAGCATGTTTATTGCAGTTTATTGCACATGAGGGGGGGCTGCAACCCCCTTAATCATCCGCCTTTGTTTTTTGAGCCGAGCAAGCTTGAACCCAAAAGCATATCAGGGGGTGGGGAGCTCACAGACACGATCAATCACGCGCCCCGCCCCGCCCCCCCTCCGAGGGCGCGAAGACAACAACACGCAATTATACAAAGCAAAAGCATATGCGAGCTTTCTAAGCCCGTGATGCGCTATTGTATTTGCAATGGGGTGGGGGGGCTGCGCTGTTTGGGGTTGCAAAAACGCATTGAAAAAACACGTTTCACTCCAAAATCTCGCTGCCACGAAACATGGGTGTGTACAGTGTTTTCGAGCAACTACTCCTGCGCCTACTCCTACTCCTACTCCTACTCCTACTCCTACTCCTACTCCTACTCCTACTCCTACTCCTACTGCTCCTGCTGCTGCTGCTGCTGCTGCTGCTGCTGCTGCTGCTGCTGCTGCTGCTGCTGCTGCTGCTGCTGCTGCTGCTGCTACTTCTCCTACTACTACTACTACTACTACTACTACTACTACTACTACTACTACTACTACTACTACTACTACTACTACTACTACTACTACTACTACTACCTACTACTACTACTACTACTACTACTACTACTACTACTACTACTACTACTATTACTACTACTACTACCACTACTACTACTACAACTACTACTACTACTACTACTACTACTACTACTACTACTACTACTACTACTACTACTACTACTACTACTACTACTACTACTACTACTACTACTACTACTACTACTACTACTACTACTACTACTACTACTACTACTACTACTACTACTACTACTACTACTACTACTACTACTACTACTACTACGACGACGACGACAAGGACGAAGACGACGACGAACGACAACCACTACGACGACGTCGACGGCGACGGCGGCGGCGACGACGACGAGTTCACGACCACCACTATGATACATCTGATACATGTACAGATCATGTACAGTCAAAGCATTGTCCGAGATCCACCCAGGCTCTGGCAACATGCGTGTGGGAAGAGCGGCTTCATCAAACAAAAACAGTAGCATCGCGGATGCCGACCCCTTTGGGGTTGTCAAAGTCTAAACAGCAATTTTGCAGGTAAGGGGGGTGACGCTCTGGGCATCGCAACACTGGCAGGAGGTGAAGTGTTGTGCTCTTGACTCAAAATGTGGCTTTGCGGCACCTTCCCCTGATTGTTCTCTTGGTTGCTCTTCTCCAAAGCCCCGGGCAGCCGGTCTTTGGGCAGCTTCTCCAGCGTGCAGATCTCGTCGTAGTCGGGATCATACCAGGTCTCCTCTCGACAAATGCGTGGGGCCAGAATAGAAGTTGCACAACAGAAATTCGGTCATCCGGCCACAGGGCGGGCGGGGCTTCAAAGGCAGCAAGTGATAAGTCACACTCTTAAACTGCTGCACAAGGACCTGTCGAGATCCTCACGAAGGAGGACACTGACCTCATGTGAACGGGAGGTAAGGTTCGCCGTATCTATGCGTCGGCAACTACCCGCACTTAGCCCCACCCCGACATAAAGGACCCGCCCTGAACTCCTACACATGCCACTCCCAGGCATGAGCGGACCTTTTTTGGGTAGACAAAGCCGCTGGCCCCCCGCCCATGCCGCCTGAAAAGAAGCCCCCCAAACAACGCGCGGATGGGCTTCTCAGACCCCACGCTGGCAGAAATGACAAGGGTTTGGACTTTAGGCATTCAACGCTTACAAATATTGTCACAAGCAAGGTCACACTCAGGCACATAGGCATTCACTTCACACGTTGCATGGCAGGGCATCGACCCAGTCCCAAAAGACGCATCCAATCTGGGTGTACTACGCGGTACCCATCCGTTGCACTCCAACACCCGGCGACATGTGCAACTCGGCACGAAATTTCCCAGCCGTGAGTAAACTCTTCCCAAGTGAAAGCACAAGATAGGATCGTGTATGGAGGAGTTAGTCGTCTTCAAGAGCCTTTTGTGACTAGACTGCGATAGACTGGGAGTCTGGATGATTTGGCCACCGAAGGATCTCCTTTCCGGCGTCGTGGTACTCCCATTCGCGGATGGCCCTGAGCCTGGTCTCCAGAATTCCGCGAGACGGGCACGCAACTACGACGTAGCCCTACGGAGCACGAGCAGCTGAGCATGTTGCAGGAGCCGCTTGAACTCAATGCCACAGCCCTGTCGAGCGTCAACTTCAACACGCTTCAACACGTGGTGCTGAGGCGCTTTGGCGCTTCCGACTCGCAGTCCAATGTGCGTTCCATGTGCCTTGAACAGGGGCATATTCAGGACGAGGCCATCGTCGAGGGCCCAAGCCTGCATACAAGAAGCGAAATGCTCGAGCATTTTTGGGTTTCTATTTCTGATCTGATTTACTCAACTTTACTCCATGTCCGCCGAAGCTCCTCACCCGTCCAGGGCTCCCGTCGGCGAGGCCGCCGTGCGATGGAGCCCGTGGCCGAGGAGCCTTCGTCCTCTTCTTTGGACCGAGGAGGGGGTACCTCGGCCTCGACCTTAGGGCTCAAGTATGGTAGCACAGTAGCACATCAGAGATGCCTTCACTGCAACTCCCGAGTCTGCTTTTGTTGCTTCCCTTTAAGCCCTTGAAGGTCACGACGGCCCAGAGCCGAGTACTTAGCTTTGCGAATCGATGAAAGCATTCGAGACGCCGCATCGTCTCCCGTGGCGGAAGCAGAGTCTGCAGGCTTCAACTCCTCCTTGCAAATCGGGAGCGCCGACAAGAAACCACGCAACACCAAATGCCCCCCAGCATACGACAAAAGCGCGCCTCACCAATCATGACCTTCTCTGCGCATGCTTGCTCTGCGCTTGCTCTATATTTGCTCTGTGTGTCGTATGTACACACACACACAGGGGCTTTACGCGATTTACGTGTTTAAAGGCATTGACCAGTACCGGTCTCAGTTGGCATGGACGCAACAGCCACCCTACCCTGCTGCTGCAGCAGGCGCCTCCTGCAGCTTCTGCCTCTAGGAACGGCACTGGCTTTCCGCTTGACCGTTCACGTGACATGATATGGCCGCCATGTCATCTAAACTTTTAAGCCGAGCCATACTCCACAGCGCAGCAGAAAAGACAAAAGCACATGCGGAGGACACGTCAAGTCTAAAGGCTTTTAGTTGAACCTCTGTGAGCTCCTATGCTGACACCCACACAATGTCCTGCGAATGACGTCGAACGACTTTTTTTCATGCGTTGCGGCAACGGGCAACGTGTCTGAAGCGTTAACAGAACACTTTGGCACTCCGCGGCTGAAGCTGTTTTCGCAACTGCCAAACTGCAGCTGCCTCAGCAGCCACTGCAAGGCAGCTCGGAGCTGGGACCAGCTGGGGCCTGCTAGGACCTCTGGTCAGCATCTGGTCAGCATCTGGTCAGCATCTGGTCAGCATGCGCCCTCGGAGCAAAAGTTGGACACAACAACAGGCCTAAGGCCAAGCTGCTGAAAGTGCATCAGGTGCACTCACCTCACTCACCCTCAAAGCTTTCTAAGCTTTCCCTACGCTTTCTCTAAGCTTGCTGAGCTTTCGCCTTCGATTTTCGACATCAGCCTGGGCCCTCCTGGGCCTTCGTCGTCGGCGCCGACGCGTCAGCTTGTTGTTGAGGCTCAAAGCTTCTTGGCGGGCTTTATGGGGACGATGATGGGGACAATGTTTGCTTCACGCCAAGTCACCAAGTGGATCAAGAAGTGGATGAAGGCCGATGAAGGCTCAGTTCACACTTGGGAACAGGGCAACGAAGCGAGAGCCCGGATGCCACGGACTGGGGAGCCGAGCTGGCACGGTTTAAAGTCCTGTGGCATTCGAAGTGTCGTTTAGGCACTGAAGGCACGGCGGAAGCAATGAAAGTGAAAACAGCTCTGACGCCGCAGGACTTCCAGGAACCTCTGAATAGAGATGTGAGAGAATGCCGTCCATGCCGTCCAAGCCCTCCAACCGTCCCAACCCGTAAGCCCTTTGTTGCGACGCGGTCTTTCGAGTCTAGAGCTGTGTGTCTTGTGTGCCTAGTCACCTATAGTCTCTGAAAGCAACCACAGCACTCACGAGCCCCGCCGGCACCAGCCACGAAGTGGCTGCTCAACTCAGGCTTGGGGAGGCCGAGCAACTTAAGCAACTTTTGAGCAACTTTTGAGCAGCTTGAGTAGGTGCTATGGACCCAACATACGCGTCGCAAATTGAGCCCGAGCAGGCCACACAGACTCCACTGGCCGGAGAGGATGCATGGCACCAAGAGCCCATGGCACAAGAAGAGCCGCTAAAGTTATCGCGGGAATCGCCGCCCGCGATGAATCTGAATCTGGAAGGTCAGCTCATGACTCATGGCAGCCCATGTTAGGCGCCAAAGCTGTGGCTGCAGCTGCCTTGCTCTGTCGCTGGTACCGCGCAGTGCTGGCACTGAGCATGGCTCCACAAAATTTGGTGGGACAGCGGCTAGCGGTGGCACTGAACGCAATCCGGTCGTCATCTGCAAGCAGACTGAGCGCAGCATTGAACGGGCGCCGCGCTGGCGCACACAGGGGACATACTAGGGGAACACATCGCTTGTGGGACGCTGGGAGGCATCGCAATCGCAAGCGCTGCTTGTCGGCATGCGCTACAGGCGCTATGCAGTCTCCTTTGGTTCGCATCCCGATTACCCCATGACTAACGGTAACAAGTGTTTGACTTTGGCCTTGCTTGGAGATATCGGACCATGGTTACCCGCAGCTTCTGTGCTGTTGCACGTGGTGCGAAGGGCCCGAACTGAAGCCAATGACGACATCAAGAACTGTCATCTGGCAACGCTTTGACAAAAACAATCAGTGAATAAGACGTTCTGGTGGACCTGACCAGAGGCAACGGGTCGGCATATGTTAATGCATTAATGCATGATGGAAGAGTGTCTTCTAGGAGCGATCCAATGACGCTTGTCATGGTCTTCATGCCTTGCAACAGACGGCAGCAAACGGCGTGGACGAAGTCTAAACAGCATTGCTGTCTTCCTGCGTGACTTGCGTGGCCCATGCCTCACGATGAGCTTACACAGCGAGCAGCACTCACAGCGGAGCAAAGTGTCATTTTGCATGGCGGCCTAACATGGCCTAACACATTTGTTCACGTCGTGCGCCCTGGAAGCTGTGTCTGCTGAAGCTTTGGCAGTGCTACTGCAATGCTAGACAAGTAAAAGTGCACGCTGCAAGGCTGCGATTGGCAGGCAACTTGTTGACTTTGACAGCACCTTTACGCAGTGGATTGCTGTTGCCAGGGCGGCCGGCTCGAACCCTCAGCACTGCCGATCTTCTCGAGAAGGCGCCCAAGACACACCTGCGGCCGTGGCATCTGCGCCCTGACGGCTCTCGCCAATTCGAGAGCAACGCACAAAATGGACAGGATGCGGAGAGCAAGGGCACGAAGGACGACCTCAAGCTGGTAGTGGGATGGTCAAGCGGAGCTTCCTTTGAGCCGGCACAAGGATGGACGCTGCAAGGACTGCAAACACCTCTTCACTCTGCTGAGGGCTCCAAAGAGACAGAGGAAGCGCAGAAGCGCAGAGGAAGCGCAGGGGTGCCCGAAGGGCGAACGGATGCGAAAGGGGCATCCGTGAGCAGGCGCTCCACGTCGGCCACGTTTCCCCGGAAGCCCACGGAGCCCACGGCGGCGGGCAGCGCAGCAGCGCAGCGCTTGGGGCCTCGCCCTCGCGGCGTTGCCGTGGCAACGACGGCCATGAGGCCAGACTGAATGCACCGTAGCCGCGCTGTGTTAACCTTTTCAAATTCGAGGGACCGAGGGAGTGCTAAGGCCCTACTGGCCCTACTGGCCCTACTGGCCCCACTGCGCCCATTCAGAAGGTGGCGGACCACGAGGCACGAGCACCACAAGCTTGGAGAGCGCAGCACAAGGGACCACGAGGGACGGCGACAGCCCTCGTTGGTCGGGAGCAACAGATGTGCACATCGATCAGCGGCGACATGCCCTCGCTGCATGTCAGGGAGACCTTGCGGCGACCATCCAAGCACCGGCCCAAGCCCTGCGCAGCTGATGTCCGCCGTGTCTGGGCGCAGGGTGGGGCTGGCAAGCCCGACTTAGGGTCAAGGCAGGTGCAGCACTCGAGGGCCGCACGGAGCCCGAGCACGAGTGGACACCAGTTGGCGATGCACGGTGCGCGCAGGTCGTCGGACCCGCCTGGGCGGACGACGAGGTGCCGAGCGAACACGCTGCCACAGGCACGCCATTTTCCGTGTCGTCGACCTGCCCGTGTCTTTCATGGCATGCAACTCTTGCACTTGAGGAGCACAGCTGCCACCGTGATCGAGGCTTCTGGATAGCTTTGCAGGCATTTCATGGCAGCAAGCTTCCCAGGGTCCGTACTCTTCGCGCACATGACCTCCGCAAGACTGGAGGAACACTGTTGTCAGGCAGATGTTGTGTGCCCTGCAAGGCTGTCAGGCTGTTGGTCTGGGCCACATGGAACCTCTGACACGAAGCTCCGCACAGGCTATGTCGTGCACAATGTTGGTCTCAAGGCATGCCTGTCTTGCACATCTGGCCCGCGGCGCGGGCACGATGTTCAAGTGCCAGGAGCTGGGGAAGTAAGCGCACATCGGGACAACAAAGCCGAGGGAACTTCGACAGCCACCCGAGGACACTGCCGGACACGCGGGAAGACTAAGCCCTGCAAATGTGGAAACGAAGTGCCACTTCCCGCTTCTTCAGTGCGAACTCGGCCACCGCTGCAGCTCATGCAGGTTGATTTTCAGCAGTGCGGTGCAAGTTGCGCTGGGCGTCCCCGGACGACAGCCCTTGCTACGTTCAACAAGGCTAGTCGACGGCAAGTCGAGCGTCCATAAAGACCTCCCGGAATCCTTGCCGTCCTTGCCGTTCGGCTTGACTGGCTTGACTGGCTTGACTGGCTTGACTGGCTTGACTGCCAAGCAGCCCTTCAGCTGATAACACCTTCATCTCGAAAAGAGCAACTTGTGCAGTGCACATTCGCGATTTGTGAGGCCTTTCCTTCCGAACCGTTTCTGCGAGTCCCGCGAAGGCCGGCAAGAATCCTGCATGGTTAAGGAGCAGCGTTCTGGAAGTCTCAACTGTTTGGGCCTGCGAGGTCAAGGTCAAATGACCGGCTTCGCAAGTGGAGCTCAGATCGATATGTCCATTTGTGGATACTCTATACGTCTATAAAGGATCTTGAGTCAGAGGGCCCCAAGATGCCAGTGGTGGGAGATCTGACGTCTGTGACGTATGGCGCAGTGGAGGCTTAAGCTGGGAGTCCCTGGTGCCGCCAGTGCGGTGCACGCACTTGCATGCGGAGACATCCACCCGGTCCACCCTTCAATCTGGTGACAGGAATGTCGTGGCCGTGACCTCTAGCCAACAGCGGTAGCCTCCGCCAAGAATCGGCAGCAAAGGCTGCAAGGGCACGAAGAGGGCTTCGCAGAGGGCTTCGTAAGGATTCCGTTGAAGGGCTCGCAGGCTGGACCTGGAAGCCATGGAGTTGTCAGCAGCTGCCAGATCAGCGGCTCAACGAACAAGTGTAACAAGAGCCCACGCTCAGAGCGCTGAAGCCCCAGCCGAACTCTCAGCAACCCCAGCAAAACTCCCAGGGCTCATGACACATAGCGTTGTCTCACCCACTGGGAAGGACTTCCGCATCCTCCTGGGTACCTCGATGACTGAGCCCGCAGAGGCCGCAGCAGAGGCCGCTGCGGAGGCCAGGATGCTCGGGAGGTTTAATGATTCAAGGTTCTTTGGGTTCTTTCCCTGGTACAACTTGTGGGCACTTTGCCACAATTTGCTTAGCGAGGCATGCTGTCACACAGGTCCGTGGCTCATTTCCTCCCACAGCAGTCTTTCAGGGCCCGAAGAAAGGCCCGGAGGCACAGGAGTTGCAGTGCTGGAAGAGCCTGATCCAAGAGTTCATCTTCAAACCGGGCTTTTGCTGTTTTCTTCAGGATCTTCTGAGTGCTCTTCGCGGCGGCCAGGCTGGTTGCAGCGCGGCGCGCGGAAGCCGCATGGGAGTCACCGTAGTCGCCGTAGTCACCCCAGGGAGCCACTCCCTTGACAACCTCAGGAGCCGCCACGGCCAAGTAGTCAGTCAGCGGGATGAGCGGATTCGGGCTCCTTGCCGACGGTCAATCAAGCCTGGGCGTGAACGCCTGGCATGCACCCTAGACTTGAAACCAAAAACTCAGGGGTGTCATGACGAAAAAATGCCCAAGCGTGCCGCCAAGCCCATCTTCACGATCCACGTTCACACCTCGCAAAGCAGCATATCCGACACGCAACATGGCAGAAGGTCCAACTCTGTGGTGCTGCGGCTGGACAGCCTCAGCGAATTGAGGCCGAAGAGCACACCGTTTTGCTGGCTAAGCCCAAGCTCTTCTTTGCACCAGCAACTGCTTTGTGCGACTGTGTCCACAACAGCCCACAGCCTGCATTGGGCGGAGGCTTTGCCGTCCTCAGTATCTCGCCTGAGTCAGCAAAGTCCAAAAGCCCCCATTGACACCGAAGCCAGCAAAGGCCGTGAAGGGCTCAAAGGGCTCAAAGGCTCAGCGCGGTGTCGGCCGTTGGTTTTGCAGAGGCTCCTTGATTTACTTGGACCGCTAGTGGGACTACTAGTGGGACTGGCGTACAGCACTTCGTGTCAATAGTGTCAATGCACTCTGCCGAAAGGAACTCCTTGAGCTCTCGGGCCCGAGGGGCATTTAGAGCTCTTGGAAGCTATTGGCACACCCACGGCATGCACGTCCACGAGTTCGACCCGGATGCAAGGGGACCATTTAACTTTGCCTAAGCCCATCTAAGCCCATCTAAGCCCTCTTCCCGGGCTCAACGTCACTGCCGGTTTGGCCGGTGAATCCTGAAATGCACACTTCCAGAGCCGTCTGAAGGCTTCCCTTCCAATAAGGGCGTGCACGGGCAAGAACACCTACACAAAGTTGGCCTTGAAGGTCAAGGGAAGGTCAAGGACCTTCGGGACATTTGGGACATTGGAAGCCCTCCGTCCCAGCGCCCAAGTCAATGTGTCTCCGGTTTCGCGGCTTTAAGAAGAAGTCAACGGGCGAGGCCGAGCCTAACAAGCCTTCAAGCTGCGGATCCTGCTGAGTGGATCCTAACGGAGGTCTAGGAGTCCTAACGAGGGTCCTGGAAAGGGTCCTGCTCACACGGCAAAACGAGCAGTTGAACTTGTCGCACTTTGGCATTTACCGAGACCCGGGGAACGCGGCCGCATCTCTGCACCGCAAATTTCTGCATCGGAGAGACCTATGGGAGTACTGAGGTCAAGCCAGGTACCTATGACTGGCCACGAGGGGCCACGAGGGGCCACGAGGGCACGAGGACACAGCGTGACGTGCGCGTTGCATGTGCAAAGTGACAGAGGACACCGGCACCACGTGCGGCACAAGTGGGGCACTTTGTGTGACAAGCTGCTGAAGGAACGACTTGCCATTACAGTCACCCAAGCCAGTGCAAGCCTAGCATGCCTACACCGCCTGCAACATCGCGGCCGCAAAGGCCGCAAAGCTCGATGACTCGAGCCCGAATGCAAGCGGCACACGTCTTCAAGCTGGTGCTAAGTCAAGTGGGTCAATTGGCGATCACACGGCGGACCTCAACCATCTTCTGTGCAATGGAAGTGGCGCAGGGCAGCGCCCAAATTTTTCCTGGTTGCTGGAAGGCATCGGGGATGACCCGCGAACTTAGCGAACTTAGCGAACTTCTTGCCTGGCGCAGCATCAAACCCATGAAGGTCAGCTTTGCACTCCGCTGCGTTTGCCCTGCAAAGGTCTAAACCTCAATGCAGCAGAATTCTCCTTTCTCTCCTTTCACACAGATCGAAAAAAAGTAGAGGTTATAGAACCTGCAAGGACAAAAGTCCCAAAGGCTTTTGGTGCAAAGTCCTCGGAGGCTACAGAGATTATGTTGCTGGACCCTGGCTCGGGGCTTTATGTTGGCAGTGTTCATGTGGCAGGCGTGGCAAGCGTGGATCTTTGCACAAATTCCGCAGCCTCCCGTCGCGGGGGACTGTCGCGTGACAAGCCAGTCTTGTCTTTCTTGTCAAATGTTCAAGCGCTTAAGAGTTGACTCGAAATCGGTGGCTCATCCTTCGGCGAGCAGCTGCGCACCATGGGCAACGCACAGAGTCAGTCGAGCCATCTGCACGTACTTGGAAATGGGCTTGGTAGCCAACTCTGTCTACGGCGCACCTACGGCGCACCTTGCCAGCCCACATCTTGTAGAAGGCAGCAGCAGGGTAGCGGGAGCACCTGGAGAGACTGCCTGGGAGTGCACTATGTAGACTATGCACTGGCATGCTGATTCTGAGGCCACGCGAAAGCACCTACGGCAGAGGTGCAACCGCTAGCGCCTGAACAGATGGCCGAAACGATTTGGATGGACTGTCAAGCGACCAGCTTTCTGATCGGCGAACATCAGCGCTGCAAGACCCCTTAGCAAGGGCCCAGCATCGAAGCCAGCGCCGCGCCTCCCTGTCTGAATGTATTTCGCCTGGCCGCTCTTGCAGGCACAGGCTGCCACAGGTGCACACACGCGGAAAGCAAAACACGCAGCATACTTCGGGCAACAGGCGGGCACACCGACCTTCAATGTCTCACTGTACGTATGTCAAAGCCGCGGCAAAGGGGGAGCGAGGTGTTGCGCGGTCTTGCAAAAGGTTTATGCCTTTTAGGGACTTCCAACAGGAGCACTGATGGTGGCCACGGCCCAGCGCTCGAGTTACTAGAAAACAGCACCGGCAGTGGCTTGCGGAGAGAGCATCATCCGCCGTGTAGTTCAAGAGCTCTGCTCCATCTGTGCAATCTGCGCAATAGACTAGACCTCACGCAGCGGCAGTCGTTCAGCGGTGTCCGCCGCTGAGTAGCTTGTCATCTGGGCTCGGTGCAGCACAGGGGCCACAGGCGCGCGAGACGAGTGGCGCGCGATGTTGCGCAGGGCCGCCTGGGCAGGTCGAGAGCAGAGACATCCCGGACAACGCCGCATCGGCCTCTCCAAGCTGGCAGACGGTCGAGAGCAGCAAAGAAAGTACAAAATGGAGAAACATCCAGCAAGGAGCGCTACGAGCTGCATGGGCACCTGGGCGGCGAAGGGCTCAGGGCCAACAGTACCTTTTGAACAGAGACAGGCGTGCGACGTTGTGGCAAAGGCATCGCCGGCATCGAGCTCAGCCGAAAGGGCAAGGCGGGTAAGAGACATCACACCGCTGTTTGCCGATCGAACACAGATGCTTGCAGGCACTTGCAATGGAGCCAACTCTCCAGTAGATCTCGGCGCTTCCTCCTGAGCCACGAAGCTCTTCTACAGCAAGCGCAGCTTGGGCTGCACATCTGCAAGAAAAGGATGGCCTCCATGCTTTGACCAAGCAGAGGCCATCGCTGGCTGCATCACGCCCCAGAAGCCGGCGACTCTGCTTTCACACCTTCAAGGAACGGGCGGCTGAGACGTGAGGCGGCTGGGCACATGTCAACCGCAAGTTCGCTGAGCCTGAGCCGATGAAGGAAGGGGACCTTGGTGGCCTTGGTGTCAAGTGCTGCCATCCTCTACTGACTCTACTCAGCTTCAAAGGGTCCGAAGGTGTCCGTGAAGTGGAGCCTCCAGAGGCGGATGCTGCATTGCTGATGTGAGCACTTCTGCTCTCCGTCGACACATCAGGGAACAGCTGGGATCCGAGAGCAACACCGATCCTCACAAGATCCGTAGGTCAGGCCACACCCACGATGGAAGACCCAAGGCGACATCTCACGCATCCAAATGCGTTCTCTGGGTCTCTGGGTACTGGCAGACTCTTTGCAGAAGTATGCCATGCATACCACAGTAGGCCGATCGACCCGCCATCAAGCCAGGCAGGGCGTCAAGAGGCTTGCTAGGCTGCCCCTTCCAAGCAAGTAGGGGCTTCGTTTGTGTGAGCATGGATGCAATAGCATTGAGATGCGCTGTCCAGACCTGCTCAGTGGCTGTATGGCAGCTTGTCTTGATGGTCATGCTTCTTTTCCCGTAGATGCTGGGGCGTTGAACAAACTCGCCGCGGGCATCCCAAAAACGCCGCACGGCAACTGCACGTGAGTCAAAGTAGCGCGAGCTATGAATTCCGCAGAGAGGAAGGGGGTTGCTCCCTGGCGCTCGGCTGGGCGCCCGCTGGCAGATGGCATAGTGGGAGGCTGTAAACGCACCTGCAAATTAACTTCTGGATTCAATACTGAAACATTAATCAGCGGATGGGCGGGATCTGGTTCAGGATGCTTTTTTGACTATGGGACGTCGCATCTGTCAAGAAGAAGCAGAAACTGCCCCGAACCCGGATCTTGCATCTTCAGCCTGGTTATGGCACATGTGCAAATGCCGTAGCCGGACATCCCTGCATGCTGGCGATCGGTCTCCTGGCCTGAGGCCATCTGATGCGTGGCTCTTGCAGCTCTTGCATCTTCACCGTGGTCATGCAAGATGTGCAGCTACCGTGGCCAGACAGTCTTCTTGCATGCTGGAGATGCGGGAGATAGGTCTCCTGAGCCTGAGGCCGTCTCATGTCATGTGTTGCTTTGGCGGCTCTTGCCGGGTGACCTCTAACGGTTCCTCGCGTACCTTCTGTGATGCTAGGGCGGCATACCTCGAGCAGCCACCAGAGGGACCACCAGAGGGACAGCAGGTGAACTGGCCTTCACTGTCTCAGGCACGGGGCTTCAAAGATGAGACAGAAGCGGCCAAGCTTTTCGTGGACAAAAGCCTGACGACTGGATCAACATCCAAGGCAGGCTCTTAAAGAAACAGCATCGGCAGTCGTTCCGGGGTCTCAGCCTCAGCTACAAAGTACCACTTGTCATCTCCATCATCTCCGCACACGGCAGTGCCACGGATGCCACACGAGCGGCTCGCGATCTTGCACAGCTGCCACAGCCGGGCATGTCGAGAGCAGAGAGATGCCGGCAAAAGCGTTGCCCGTCGTGCTCTCACACCAAGCTTTGGGACAGTACGACACCCCTGAAGCGTTGTAATTTGTGCAGGGACTTGTGCATGCTTCTGCCGAGCACAGCGCCTCTTGCGGCATGCAGGCCCCGTATGCTGGCTCGTGGGCGTGCCACGCCGTGCGCGGGTACGTGAACAACCGTCCTTAAGCACGATTTACCCACATCTTGTAGAAGGCAGTAGCAGGGTAGCGGAAGCACCTGGAGAGACTGCCTGGGAGTGCACTATGCACTGGCATGCTGATTCTGAGGCCACGCGAAAGCACCTACGGCAGAGGTGCAACCGCTAGCGCCTGAACAGATGGCCGAAACGATTTGGATGGACTGTCAAGCGACCAGCTTTCTGATCGGCGAACATCAGCGCTGCAAGACCCCTTAGCAAGGGCCCAGCATCGAAGCCAACGCCGCGCCTCCCTGTCTGAATGTATTTCACCTGGCCGCTCTTGCAGGCACAGGCTGCCACAGGTGCACACAGCGGATTCGGAGCACGGAAAGCAACACACGCAGCATTCTTCGGGCAGCAGCCGGGCGCACCAAGCCTTATGCCTTTTAGGGACCTCCAACAGGAATACTGATGGTGGCCACAGCTCAGCATTCGGGGTATTAAACTCTTACAGAAACAGCACCGGCAGTCGTTCAGCGGTGTCCGCCGCTGAGTAGCTTGTCATCTGGGC